TCCTAGTGTTTCCTGTATTAGGGAAATAATTAATGAAACCATTTTCTTAATGCAAGACTACCCAATCTAGATTTTTTCAAAGCCAAAGAAAGTACTAACAAATTAAAAATCAAAAACATACTTACCCCTTTGGTAAAAATGGCATAGATAATACCATGGATAGTAGTGCATCTCTGTTCAGTGGGGACTGGTAACATCATCAAAGTCAGGATGGGGAGGAGTGAATCCTGGGCTTTGCTGGTCCTCCACATTTTAACTGGTGCTCCTAGCCAGTGAACAGACTAACACAGGCATTGTCCTAAGGCTTGAATGTCTCCATGGAAGAGCCAAGGGAGAACACTGGGAAGTTTTGAGAACTTGAGGTCAAAGAAATAGCTCAATGGTAGCTCCCTTGCCTGGCATTTCAAGACTGTGGTATGAGATTCCCCTGAGAGCGTAACAGTGACAGGTGCAAGCAAGATCAAACTGGAAGTCCAGAGTGGTTTGCACAGACAAGCTAAGGAAATGCTGGGAATACACCACCAGGAAGAAGGCAGAGGCTTGAAAAAACTGGAAGAGCATGTGCTGTCCACAGTCACAGCATAGTGGCTGCTTGTTATGCTGGTTTCAGTTTGGTGATGGGCATACTCCACTTAGTTTAGGAGGCCTTGACTCATGCTGTTTGTGACTCCCTTGTTTGCTTGCTTGCTTGCTTGTTTTTGTGTTTGCTAGTGGAGGCTTCCAATATATGTCTCAAGAGTTTTGTTGTTGCTGGTTTTGTTTGTTTTTTTAAAAATGTGATCTCATGTAGTCCAGGCTGGTCTTGAACTCCCTGTATAACCAAGGATGACCTTGAATTTAGGATTCTCTTGCCTCCCTTCTGAGTGCAAGAATTACAGATGTGCACCACCACAGCTGGAGGTAGAAGCCAGGTCTTCATGCATGGCAAGCAGACACTTCCATGACCTAACCCTTCAGCAAATGTTGTTTTGATGTAATTTGTTAGTGTATAATTTGCCAGACAAAAGCCAGTGCCCAGGTGGCTAAGAGTACTTACTGTAAGCAAAGCTTGGATGGAAAAGTATCCTGGTATGTGGAAGCCAAGAAATACCACAATGTCACTGTGAGGACAGCAGTCCTGCTCCAGCCGAAGTGTTAAAACCCTGTCCCAGGAAAGGTTTTCCCAGTGCAAGTGTAACAGTTCCGCTCCAGTGGGGCAGAATTGTTACAGCTTTGCTTAGGTCCCCCAGAGTGTAACAGTTCTCTGGTGGATGAAAATTTCACTAGCAACAGTGATACACTTCTGCAATTCTTCTCTGGCGAGAACCACACAACAAACCTCACTAGAGATTTATTGGAAAGGAAGAATCCAGGAAGGTGGCTTCCTCGAGGGTGAGAAGCAGCAGCAAACTGTCCAGAGTACAGAGCGTATATAGGGTTTCTTAGTGGGGAGGGCTTTTCCAGGGTGGCCTGCGATTGGTGGATTTTTTGTAACCTGATTCTGGGGCAAGCTCAGGGATTTGTGGGATTTCAAGCCTGGTCCTGGGGTCAAGCCAGGGCTAGGGTATTTTTCCTTGGTTCAGGTTTCAAGTCTATAGTCAGGGGCAGGGTGTTTTTGGATCTTTACCCTACACTTTCTGCTCTTGCAGAAGACATGGGTTTGGTTGCCAGCACCCACATGGCATCTCACAAATGTGTACAACTTTGAATTCAGATGATCCCATACCATTTCTAGCCTCTGGGGTCACCACAGACACATTTAGGTAAAACACTGTCCAGTAAGATTTTTTTAAAAAGAAGAAGAAAAGAAAATCTTTAATAAAAACAGGTTTGGGTCTGATTCAGAACCTTGAGTTTTCCATACTAGCCTTGTTTCTATGTACTCTTCAGGCCCAATTATATGTTATCATTTATTTTAAAATTAAGCTGTGTATCTCTTGGTTCTCTGTTCTGTGATAGGTCTTTTAATTTACCATAAAACCCACCATAGATTATTTTCTCGTTTTATGTTATATTGGTGAAAAGGGGTTGATATCTTTCTGTTATTTAAATTCCTCAACGAGTGATCAGGGTAGAGTTAGTAGATTGGCAGTAATGCTGGCTCTTGGGATCATGTCTTTAAGCACACACACACACACACACACACACACACACACCCTTAGAATTTTCAAATTCTGTCTCATGTGAGAAAGAAGAGTCACGTTTTTCACACTCGCAACTTTTACAGAAATGAGCAGTCTTTGTTTCTCAAGTCTGTATAACAGACTGTTGAAGACCACTTGGCTACAAATTAATAGAAATTTATTCCTACATCTGTAGTTCAGATGTCTCATCCTTCTTACTAAACATGGGAATCCAGCTTGACATGACTATAGCCATCTTTCTTTGAACTGTGTCTTGTGTGTGCACACACACACACACACACACACACACACACACACACACCAAGACAAAAATAATAATAATAATAATAAAGCCCAAATCAAAAGTCAAAAACAGAAAAGAATCCTGGGCGAAGCCAGTTCAAAGGACGTAAACACACAAGAGAATGGTGTAACATGTGGCGATGGTGATTCTCAAAGCACAAAGGTGCATGATGCAGCGCTGACCAATGTTGTGGTTACTGGGCAAAGAAATTTTCTGTGGGGAGTGAGGAGAGGATGCCTGGAAGGAGCTGAGGAGAGATTCTGAGGGGACAGTTGGAGACAGTCAGAAAGAGTGCCTCACGGCCTGAGCAACTCAGCACACTCTCCTGCACACTCACCTGCACACACTTTTATGAAAGGTTGGGTTTTTTGTTTTTGTTTTCAGAGATTGGTGCCTGTGTCTGATCTGTGTAAGTGTAAGCTCTGATTTCTCCCATGGGAATTTGTCACTTTCCTGTGAGGTCCTCTCCAATGCTGATGTGTCATTCAAGCACAGAAGGGGTGACCAGGTGAAAAGTCTCTTTGTGGCTGCCTTGCCAGCATTTATTGAGGGTTTGAAGGTTGCAGTTTGAGTCTTTGTGACAACAAAATGGTGTGTCACACAAGGGGAAGTTATCTGTCAGGCCACAGCTTTGGTGAATGAATCACTCAGCTGGTAGAATTCCTGAGTCACAGGCTTCCCTGAAGATCTCCTCTCAGGCTTATCCTGCAGATCCTGTTCTGGGACCCTTCACACTGCCCCTGCCTGGCTGGCCTCCTAAGGAAGCATGTTGGGATCCAGGAGAGGCAACAGCAGAGCAGAAAGAGTGGGAGGGTTGGGGAAGAAGTCACAGCCCTGCCAGAGTAGAGCAAGGGACCCCTCAGGCCAGCTGAAGCAAGGAAGAGTGTGCCAAGCCACCACCCCCAGGGCAGGCTGTGGTCTTACTGGGTGCCTAGCCACCACCCCCAGGGCAGGCTGTGGTCTTACTGGGTGCCATACCACCACCCCCAGGGCAGGCTGTGGTCTCACTGGGTGCCGAGCCACCACCACCAGGGCAGGCTGTGGTCTCACTGGGTGCCAAGCCACCACCCCCAGGGCAGGCTGTGGTCTTACTGGGTGCCTAGCCACCACCCCCAGGGCAGGCTGTGGTCTTACTGGGTGCTGAGCCACCACCCCCAGAACAGGCTGTGGTCTCACTGGGTGCCGAGCCACCACCCCCAGAACAGGCTGTGGTCTCACTGGGTGCAGAACCTTTAGTGTTAGATGCCTGCACACATCTCAACACATGTTTAAGGAGCTTGGACCTTTTCTGACTCTGCTGATGCTTTTTGAGAGTTCTTGAGGGAAAAATGTTTAATGGAAAATGAAATTTTTTAAGGGAAAGAGAAATCAGATGTATAGTGGTTCCTTCCATACACTGAACATGTTTTCCAAGACCCTCAGGACTGAAACCACAGAGAGAACCGGATGCTAGATATAGGCTTTTCCCTTTGCATACTTATTCAGTCCACAATTTAATGTATTAGACAAATAACAACAATGGTAAACAATAGGTACAACCATATGCTGTAGTGCAAGTTACTGGAATGTGGTCTCTTATACTCTCAAAGCATCTTCCTGTTCTGAATTCTGTCTTTAGACCTCAGTTGACCACAGGCCACTGGGAACTCAGGAAGTGCAACAGCAGATTGCGGGAGGGGA